CCGCCCGGGCGCTCGGAGGCCCGGAAGCTCCTGGGGCTGGCGTACCCCGAGCGCCGGAGGCTGGCAGGTAGGGCCCCCGTCCTCCCTCCGCTCTCCCCGCGGGCACAGCCTGCGGCGCGCGGTCCCGGGGCGGCCGAGAAGGGACACCGCGGGGGCGGCACCGTGCGCAGGGACGCGGTGGCCTTGCCCCCGGGCACTTCGACCCCGAAGTGCCGGTCGGCGCGCTCGCCTCCCCGGAGAATTGCCGAGCCCGTCAGCGCAGCTGGGGACCTGGCGGGGGGTCCGTTTCGTGTCCGTTGTCTCTCGTGCCACATTATCCCAGGGGAGCACTCGGAGTCGGGGGCCCGCCCTCTGTGGCTCCGGCGCCCGCGGGTGCCCCTATTCTCGGGAGGAGCCGAGCTTTCCTCGTCTGTTTTTTTAAAGTTAATTCTAGCTGTAAACGCATTATTTTCTACTATGCTCTTATGCTGACTTTTACAGCCTTATGTGCTTTAGGCAGGTTTATTACGCGGTCGGCAGGGTTTTTGCCGCGAAGTAAAGCAGCGTAACCCCCTTCGGCCGGCACCTGTGCGGGAAGCTCCCGTCTCCTTCCCAGAGTCGTCAGGAGCAGTGATCTGCAAACTCCAAAAGTCTGGAGAAACTAGATCGCAACCCGTCTACATCATAACAGTCATTTTTAGAAAACATCAACACGAATGGTTTTAGAAACAAAATCCAGATAAACATGATTTTCTGTAGCTCCTTGTTAGCCGTAATTACAAAAATAATTAAGTGCAAGTTTTTCAGATTTTTCTAAATCTTCATTTCTTTAATAAATGTGTATTGAGTGCCTTGTGCGTTCCAGGCCCTGGGCTTACACTGGGGAACAGAAACGTGGAGTCTGCCCCTGCTGGGGCCGCCGTCTCGGGGGGAGGGGACTGACTGCTGTGGCCCTCGAAACCGTGAGACTCTCCCGTTCTTCGCTGCAGACACGTCGCCTTAGGCCCTCCTGGAGGGGGACCCGTGTCGTAGGGCAGGTTGGTACCCTGGAGAAGGGCATTTTACCTCTCCCTGACTGTCGAAGTTTAGGGGGAGTCTTGGTACTGTCACCAGACAGTTGCCCAGGATCTCGTCAGCGTCGTGAGGAAGGGTTCACGGACGGACAGTGAGGGCGATGAAGCAGCAGCTCGAGCACTCTCAGCGGGGAGAGTGGCCGGCCTCGGGGCGCTGTCTCGCCTTCTGGGTTTGGGGCTTTATCCATTGACCTAACTAAGGGGTGCAATAGTCATGATCTTGGGTGGTCTCTTCGTAGAAAGGAGATGGTTTCTCTTAGAATCGGGGAGACACCCCTTTTCTTGCCATGTGGGTTTTTTGGAACTGTCGTGGCGTCAGATGCATGTTGGGGACAGCGTTAACCGCAATGCTAATGTATCGCGATAGCTGTAGAGTCTGATTTCTCTTCACATCGCGTAAATCTTTCCCCTTACAATAGCTGTATAATGAGGGACCAATTAGGCCAAAGGTGCACGGGGCCTGATCTGCACATGCGTCTCTGTGGGAAGACCGCCGGCGTCCACCGTCAGGCCGTGGGCTTTGAGCCCCTCCTCAAGGCTCGGGGCAACCCCGTCTGCGCCCCGGTGGTCTCTGCCCTGCCTGCTGATATCAGCATCACTGAGGTGTAAAATACCAAGCACTGGTGTAGCGTGTGCAGCTGGCAGGGGCTCGGTGCCCAGCTAAGGGAATGAGCGATGGTGTCGCCAGGCCCCGGGGAAGCCTGAGTGTGGAGAGCCGTCAGCGTGCAGAGACCCAATTTTGGTTGGTTCTGAAGTGTTAAACGTCAAGAAGGTTTTTCAGATGTCAGGCTGGGCAGCCCAGCCTCTCTTGTGACTGTCATCTCGTGTCCTGTTCCCACACGTCCAGCCATGCCGCTGGGTGGAGGAGACAGCCCTAAACAAGGCAAGGGCTGAACCTCGTTTTAGCTGAGGAAGGGGAGCTAGTTTGCTGTGCCGCATTGAGTAACTATGAACCTAAGAGTTTGAGAAAATAAGTCTGGGGTCGGTACACTTAATTTTTTTTTAAACTTTTTAAACGGATAATAAATACATATTGTATCTTATGAGGACGTCTGATGAAAAGCCCTAAGAAGTCATATGTTTCCTCCGAAGTGATATATTGAAGCCAATCTGGAGGGTACGAGGAAGTGATTTGTAACTTAGCCTGTAGCTTAGCATCGTTAACTTGTAACTCATCATCGTTAAGAGCAGCCTTGAACTTGGCAGATCTCTGAAATGCTAGAGACAAAGGGCAGCAGGGCATGCGTCTGTTCGTTAATCAAGACACCAGAACAAAGTTGAGTCGAGAGGAAATTCTAATGTTAATGTTTCAAAAAACAAACATTTTTCAAAAATCCATTTCTGTATCTGAATAACAGTATTTTCAACTGAGCGTAGCAGTTTGGAGATATGCCACCTGAACTGTGTGACCAGAACCCTTTGACCCTAAGTTTTGTTTTGTTTTGTTTTATTTTTAAGCGAGGCAGCCCTTGGCTTAACCTCACCAATTGCAAGGACCTTGTCAGCTTGCAATCTCTTATTTTTTATTTGTTACGCCTACAGCACCTGGTCTTCCTAGGTGGTCTCCCATCCAAGTACTAACCAGGCCCGACCCTGCTTAGCTTCCAAGAGCAGAGAGGATCGGGCTTGTTCAGTGTGGCATGGCTGTAGGCGACCCTAAGTAGTTTTTATCACAAACTTAAAAGCAGGGTGTGCCTCCCGAGGTGTCCACAGGTGTGTGCCACGGGGTGGGCGTGACGCCCATGCCCACGCCCACTGGAAAGGCCCCGGGGACCTCCCAACTTTCCCCTCAATAATTGTTCATCCCGTCAGTCACCTCGGACAGAAGGAGTCCTGACCGATGCAGGGCTCGCAGAGGAGCCGCGTGGCCCGATGGGACCACTCAAAGCCTCGCGCTGCGCCTGGCAGATGGAAGAGGCGCCCAGGGCTCTGCCCCGGCGTTGGCCAGGGAGCCCGTGCATGAGGCCGGGTGGCAGGAGGGAGCCGTGGGCTGCAGGGTCCTGCGAGGTCCCAGCGATGCTGCCAGCGGGACGCTCTTTGTGGCGCGGTTGTTCACCCCTCCCCGGAGGGCTCGTCGCCCCTGGGAGGGGCCACCCTTCCTCCTGTGGTCTTTGGGGCGGGGGGGAGCGGGCGCGGGAGGGTGCGCCTCGCTGGAGCTCCAGATAAGCTCCTGTGGTTGAGATGAGGGCCGTTCCTAGAAGCTGACGCGCGCCTGGAGCTTTTGCTGAATTTGAGGTGATGTTTTCCGAAGATAGAACTTGCAGTGACCAGAATGAACGCGGTGATAAAGACCAGGGAGGGCAAGGAGCGAACCAGGGGTGCT